ACCTTCTCCTCTCATGTGTTCACACATGTATATATACATAAACATATCTGATGTATATGTATTGTAAGTGTCGTTGATCTGTCTTGGGCAAAGCGAGCACCCCATCTGCGCGCCTTGTGTAGCCATTCCGTGTATCCATCCGTCCGCGCATTGCATATTGAAAGCAGACAGGTGAATGGCCCCTACTGCATGAACCTTGTCCGCTTCGCGCGCATTACGCCACGCAAAAACAGCAAGTAGGGGGCGCTTTGTACTGGCAAACGCATTCGTGCAGTCATAGTTGGTGTGTACTATTATTCCCCCCACTTGCTGAGCCCTCAACCGTGTGCTGGCAATGTATAAGATGGCGTTCTCTCTACATCTGCGCCAGTCCGCCCTGAGCCCAGGATGGGTGCTCTGGTTGGGGGCCTCTCTTGTGTACCCCATTGAACCAGGCCATTCCCTTGCTGCAGTATGCGTGCATGATGCGTTTGCCTGCTATGCCTTCTTTGCTGCTGTGCTAGTCAGCGTCGGATGCATGCGAGCGGTGCCAACCCAGCGGGGTTGTCTGCGACGGACGACTCCTCAGCAATACGTCTCTCAAGCGAGCCAGCGGGAGCGAGGGAGAGTGGCTAGTAGTTGAAATCTCTAGTGTACCGAGCCCTACATTCGCTCATCCGTGGACGTGGTACGGTCTACTTTCACATGCATCTTTGCCTATCCCGTCGTCCCCCCCCAGCAACACCAAGACGCTGGCCCGTCGTCCGTCTCATCTTCTCTAACACCTGTCCCCCTTTCTTCTACTTGAAGGGAGTAGTGTACTTATTCAATTCCTCCGCATCCTCCCTTTATTATTCCTCTGCTCAGATGCGTGCTGCTCATGTCTGGTTGCTGAGACCGCTCGGGTCCTCGAGATGGACAGTGGGGTCGAGGGCCATCCAAGTCAATGTCACATGCCCACCCAGTCGGTAAACGACCTCATTGTTCTTCGTTTATTGCACCATGCTCCTCTCGTCCTGGGCCGCTGCGCCCTCGTCTCTGCGTCCTCTGCCAACGGTAGCCTTGACTCGTAGGTTTCGTTGTGATCTTCTCGCAGGGCTTGAAGGCTGATCGTCTCTGCCGCCAGTCCTCCCTGGTATGGGTGCCTACCTAATTCGAACGACCACTGCTCATTGTCCCAGTAGGTCCGTGGGGAACAGCGGCGCGTTGTTGCCCTCTCCCGTTGTTCTGGTAGTGGATCCTAGGCCTATGCATCTCGTTGTGCTTGTTCTGATCGTAGGCCCACCATATGGAGTATGCTATCTTCGCATTCCTCCCTTTCTCGGCTGCACCCCTCGCCCGTTGCCAAGTCCTCTCGGACCTCCTTGAACACCTCCCTCTCCGTACCTTCCTCAAGCCTCTCTCTGAATTCTCTCCTCTGTTTACGCAGCTCGCTTCTCCTTCTCTTGAAGTCCTCCTGCTTTCTCGTTGGAAAGGCCTTCCTCATGGCCCCGCTTCCCTCAACAATTCCCAGGCAGCGTCGGGTGTAGGTTCGTCCATCGCCTCGTCCCACTTCCCCTGGTCCTGGAGCTCCGCGGAGAATTTGTGGAGAAGCTCGCCACCTCATGAGAACCTCGCGGTCGGGACCTTCGGGGCGAGTCGGGAGGAGGGGTCGGAATTTGGTGGAGGTAACTGTTGGGAGTACAATACCTACAGGAAGGTGGTGTTTGAATCCTCTGCTTTTTTATCAGCTGCAGTCTTTTCCCCTGGCTCCTCAGCGTCGTGCATCTTTTTACTATACCCATGGCAGAAGTAGGGATGGCAACGTGGTCTATCTTGCTGGGATCTCCAGCTGGGCTGTGGTAGGTCTGTCCGCAGTCCCAGTGCGTCGTCAAAGTGGAGAGTCCGCTCTGGGCGCAGAAATTCCTGAATACCCTGCCGTTGTGATGCTCCACGCTGCCCCCGAACGGTCCCACAGCAGCTCTGTCGTTCCTACTTGTCGCGAGAGTGCCTTCGGGGTTCCTACGATGTCCAAGCTGCGCATCGAGATCTCCTCCTGCGGTCGGCGTGGTCCTCACTCCCAGCGGGTCGCACGGTGCCTCTGCCCCTCCCGCTACGTTGTTCGCTGTGGTTTCGCACCTCGTGCAGCAGATGGGTGCCAGGGGTAACACGACGAGGGCCGGGCGGCACAGTCTGACCCCCGACACCCTCCCTTGGAGGAGGAAGAGGAGGAGGTACACTGCTCGGTGGCGTGCGGATCCTTCTGAGCGCCGTCTCGGGAATTCTGCGGTTGCCCAAGTTTGTAGTACCACATACGTTCGAAATCCGGCTGCTTGTGGTCATCCATGTTACATTCCTCAGTGCAAATTCGTGTGAATTGTCTGCTTGTGTTCAGGTCCCCATGCCCACTTGTGTGTTCCACTTTGTAGTGCTGTGTCCCAGTGGCGCATTTCGCTGCTGATGTCCTCCAATCAATCAGAAGTGCTGGCCGCATACGGGTTGTAGAAGAGGATTCTCATGAGCAGCAGAGACGACATGCGCGGGAGAAACGAAGCCTCTCCTTGTCTTCGGGGGAGTACCCACGCCTGGGCTGCAGCATTGTGCGCGCTTGCACGCTTAGGTCGAGTCGTTCGCTCAAGCGCTCGCTCCGAAACGCCGACTTGGGGGGAGGATGAGGCGGAGGAGGAGGAGGAGGAGGACGAGGACTTGAACAAGGAGGAGGAGGAGGAGGAGGAGGAGGAAGAATTGATACATGGATGGACGGATGCATGGATGGACTGGTGGAAGGATTGGTGGAAGGTGGGGAGGGACGGATGGAGGGAGAGGGGCAGGGAAGGGGGAGGAGGGGGAGGAGGTGGAGGAGGGGGAGGTGGAGCGCGAGGCCAATGAGACGGATGAAAGGGAGCAGGACAGGGCTCGTTTCGGTTCTTCCGATTCGATCCGATTCGATTTCGATGGCTTCCGATTCGATTCGACTTGGGATTCCAATTTGGGTTCCGATTCTTTATTAGATGCCTGGAAGCCTGCCGATTTTTGCCGATCCGACTTCTCTTGACGTGGCTGCCGGTTTCCGCCGATCCGATTCATCTCGATCGCCGATTCGATTTGTCGATTCGATTCTGGGCTTTCTTGGCAGGAAGAAGGAACGGGAGGAATATCCTAAGGACGAGGAGGTTGAAGAGGACCGACACATTAGCAGAAGTTCGCAGCGTGGTGGCGAAGTTGGCGGGAACGGATCAGTTAGAGAGGACAGTACCCAGTTTCCCTAGCCAGTTGAACCTGCGAACCCAACCAGCCCAACCGGCCCACCAGCCAAACCAGCCAAGCAAGCCACCAGGCCAGCTCGTCAAGCCCGACCAGCCACGCTGCTACCCACCCAACCCGCAAACCCGCCAACCCCCGCAGCCTGCCTTCTGTCACCGTCGAGAGGTGGGGGAGACGTGCTCTTACCAGCGAGAACGAGCAAACTCACCCTCCCGGGGTCAGGCGTCGGGGGGAGGGCAGATCGCACCGTACTCCGGGGGAACCAGCTTCGCGCCGACGGACGTCAACGACTGTTTTAGGTTTCCAGTGAGATTGGTGTAATGTCGACGCTCTTCACCGCACCCCCTTCCTCAACGGAGTGGCTCCCATTCTCGGAATTGCCGTCACTTTCGAGGCCCCACGCGGGGTTTCTGTCGAGGGCCCGCCAGGATGGTCCGGGGACGCCATATCGCATATAGCAACGTGGGGGACCGTTAACTGGATCGGACTATCCCGGTTAACACTCGACAGCCTAGGAGGCCCCAGGGGGAGCAGGAGGAAGCATGAGGAGGAAGAGAAGAGGAGAAGGAGGAAGGGGGGAAGAGTCACGAGGACGAGCAGAAGGAGATCAGGGAGGATATGTATGACCAGCGGGCAGCGGAAAAAGGATGATGGATGGATATGGATATGGGTATGGATATGGGTATGGATGCATAGATGGATGGACGGAGCGAGGGTGGCATGGGGAGGAGAGAGGGGGAAGGAGCGGAGAAGGGAGATGCGGAGAGGAACGGCACATTAGCAGAATTGCGCAGCCTGATGAAGAAGCCTGCGAGAACAGAGTAGTTAGTAACGAAGGTTGTGATAGAGCCAACACCAAACATCACGACGTCATTTCAAGCAGTAGCTTTGATCGCACGGCGGGACTCGAACATCGAATTTGATGGAATGACGTCCTCAGATGTTCCTGGCACCTCTTTGACTTTCGAGGGCCCTCTGATAATTCCCGAGATCCTCGGGGGTGAATTGCCGGCGAAAGAACGCGAGAGGACGAGGGGTCAACACGAAGGTCCACATAGCAAATTGCATCCAAATGGTTTCTACTCCCGTGAGTGTGTGTGTGTGTGTGTAAATGTGTATATTTTTGCAGGTTATGGAACATCACATTTTGGAGGGGAGCGCGGATTTCGTGGATCTGTGCCGGGCGCTCCTCCTGGCGGCGCTTCCGGCGCCGCTCCCGGCGCGCACCGCGCGCCAGGAGCGGGGGAGGGCCCAGTGCAGATAGATCCGCGCGGGCCTCCGAGAGTTTCTGTCGACAGAGTGTTTTCTGCGGGCAGGGTCCATATCCATATCCACCGTGGCTTTGGCTCACTGAAGGGCCGCCAGAAGGCCGAGGCGCCGTTGATGTGCACGAGCATCCGGCCTCCACGGTCCAGGCTCTTGTATCTGTCCGCTGCGCCTCTCGGTTTGGGGGAACAGGAGCCCGAGACTCTGAGGCGCAGTGGATATGGATACGCATCTTGCCCGCATTTTCCTATCCTGCCCCCCCCCCCCTTGGCCTCAAGTCGGGCGTGTCCATCTACAGGAGGAATTTTCAAAAATGGTCCAAAGAATGTCTGGGGACGATTCGTCGAGTATGTTTTGACCATTGCTGAATACTTGTTTGAGTATTTGTTTATATCTGTCCTCCAACATCCGCCTGTAGGACGACATGCCCGACCTAACCCTGGCCCCAGCGGGAGAGCCGCACCGGCCAGCGGCGCCAGAGGCTCTACTGAGCGGGCGCCCGGCGGCCCGAGGTGCGCCTCGGCGGGCCGCCGGGCGGAACCCTCGCCGACGCCTTCGTCTTCGGCGCGCACCTCCCAGAGCTCATCAGCACCGGAGGAGGGGAAACGCCACAGGCCTCAACTTTTGGTGCTCCGCGCTGGACTTCTGAGATCCGCGCTGGAGCCCCCGAAGCGCCATAAGCATAAACTTCTGGCGCTCCGCGCTGGATTTCTTCGATCCGCGCTGGGCCCCCCCCGGCGACGCCTCTGGCGCCGCCCCTGGCGCGCTCCGCGCGCCAGGGACGGGGCTGCCTCGCAGATCTAAGAAGTCCGCGCGGAGCGCCAAAAGATTACCTTTATGGAATCTTTTTCGTCTTCTGCGACATCCGTTGGGTTGCTTCTGCTGGCTCGAACCCTGAGAGCCGGGCGTTGTATATTTGTTGTTGACACGTGGGGTTGCAAACATGTGGTTCTCCTTCACCTGTCGCGCAAGCGAACTTTTTGTGCCTCCGACTGCTGCCATCGTTTCGATGCAAATGGTGGCCGCGGATCGCATGACGACGGTGGATCGGCGCCTTTTCCACATGTTGTCGGACAGTAATATGAAGTTTCGTGTTCGGACGGATCCCCGCGGGGCACACGTTGTACATGCGTGGGCTTCGCGTCGCCCCTGCCGCTGCTCCCGCTGGAGATCGAAGAAAGGGGAGGAGGGAGAGGGGGGCAGACATGGCATGGGAGGAGGGTGATTGGGGGAGGAGGCGCAGGGTGTGGGAAAGAGGAGGACTGGAGGAGGAGGAGGAGAACGCCGTCACCTGATCTTGCTCACGGTGCCCTGCTTGATGGCAAGGCTGCCCTTTCTCGTGCCAGTCATGCGGTTGTTCGATGTCCAGCCGCGTGGCATTGAATGAGGGGGGGAGGCCTGCGACTCCCAACCCGAGCTGACATCCCCGCCCCCCTCCATGTCACCCCTCCTCCCCCGCGATAAACAATCAGGAGGAAACAAAAACACAGACACAGTTAATCGTCGATCCCCAGAAAATGATAGGAAAATATGGGAAGTGGGGGGGAAGACAAACACCCAGAACATATAGGAAAACATGGCCCAGGGCCCCCCCTTCAACAGCGTGGGCTGCTCGCGACAGTGGGGAAGGTGAGCGTGGGGAGCGAATGGGCCTCTCACAGTGTCGAGGTGCCGCTGGTCGGCTGCTCGCCTCGTCCCCGCGGCACTGTAGGAGCGCATGCCCGGAGGCAGCTTCTGGGAGGTCAAAGTCTGATTTTGCCCTGGTCCAGGATCGGGCCGAATCCCGCTTGCTTCAGCTTGCTCCGGCTTCAAATGTTTCCGACAAAGACCTCCCAGTAATTGCCTTCTAACGTGTAGCTCTTCTTTCCTCAGCCACGTCCGCTCTTCTGAACGCGAGAGGGCCACCTCGCAGCATAGAAGGCCCCGCCCTGGCAGCCTGCCGATGCAGCTAGACGAACTGCTTCCGAGAAAAACAAGCGGCTCTTGTTTTCCATCGCGTATCGGATTCCGCCTGTCCATGTGGTGTCGTGGCTACCATTTGCGTATGTCGGATTGGGGTGTTCTTGAGTTGTGTTATTGGCTACATTGGGCGCCGCCGCCTGTTCCCAGTGCCCCTGGCCGCCCCGCTCGCCGATTGGCCCACCCTGTCCACCCGGGAAGCGGAGACCTTTCGCGAGCCACCCGCTGGCTGGTGGGCAGCGCGCCGCCCGGCCCCCCGCTGCCGCGAGAAGCTCGCGTGGGAGGGGGGGGAGAAGATGCGGTCGCTTGGTAAACGGAGGGCGTTGCTCGGTGGAACACGCCCCCGGCCAAGTTGTGCCTTCAACGCCCGGAAACACGATAAGGCACTACTCATGCAATACACGTATCCAGATGGTCATGCTATTTTCAGCCCCGTCTTGGGCCGTCGGAGGATCTTGGGGGACTCATGGGGGCTCTCTAGGGGCCTCTTGGGGGCCTCCCGGGGGCCTTTCTGAGGCTTCTTGGACCACATTGGCATATCCTGGACAACCTGGATGCCGTTAAGGGCTGTCTTGGTGACCATCTTGAGGCCTGCCACCCATTAATCATCGCTGTTGGGCCACTTTGGGTTCTCTGGGGCTCTTTTCGACGCGCCGTTGGCCCGTCTTGTGTTGTTGCGGGGCCCGCCTAGGGCTCAAGTGGATTCTCTTGGGGAACATGCCAGGCCATCTTGAGGCACTATTGGTGGAATGTTGGGGCCATCGAGTTACCATGTTGTGCTCTGACGTCCATTGATCCGCGCTGTTGGCCGCTCGTGGCACGCTTTAGCAAGGAGTTTTGCCTGCAGGTCTCCCAGAAGCGCCATCGCTCGCGCGGATCAGAGTTATCAGTACCAGATTAAGCACATGTTTGGGCCTGCCTGGACTGGCGAATTGCACCTGGACGGAGGATGGATGGAGGAGGATCACGCCTGGCCTGCCTGCCTGCCTGGACGGAGGATGGATCACGCCCCTGGCCCCCGCTGGACTGGCGAATTGCACCGCCGTGCAAAGACGCGGCAGGAGTTCAGGAGATCCACACGGAAACCCGGCGTGTTTCACACGGCGATTTTTCATTGACACAGGGCATTTGGTGAGTAGGACGGCGAAGCTGAAAATTGAACTTCCGCGGGAGTTGATCAGCAATGATGATGTGTTATCTTCGCGGTCGAGGAGGAGGGGAAGAGATGGAGGAGTAGAAGGGCGAAGGGGGGACGCCCGTGAGGTTCCTGGAGACGCCCAGAGGTCCTTGGTCCCTTGAGGCTTCAGAGCTATGTGGGTCTCAAGCGCTCCAATGTCTCCAGAGGATTCTGAGGTATCCGAATGCCTCCAGAGAGGTCTGCAGGGCTCCACAGGAAGTTGAGGAAGGAATGAGGAGGGGGAAGGAGGATAACCGTGGAGGAGAGGCGTGGAGGAGGAGGAGGGAAGCGGGGAGGTATGAGGAGGAGGAGGAGGAGGAGGAGGAGGAGGAGGAGGAGAAGGAGGAAGGGGAGAAGGAGGAGGAGGAGGAGGAGAAGGAGGAGGTTTTGAAGGGGGGAGGGGGAGGAGCGGCAGGGACAGGGGGAAGATGCATTTCCCAGCCCGGGGGACGCCAGCCATGTACCGCCCCTGCACTGATCGGACCGATCTTGGCCGTGCCAGTCCTTGACCCCGGAGCGCGGCGTGCGCCTCCCAGGCCAAGCCTGGATGGCGCACGCACCGATTTGGCTCAAGGAAGGGGTTGGTCAGGATCGGTGAGAGCGCACGGCCGGCAGTCTCCTGTCTTGGGATGCAGCTCCTGGGAGGGTATTTTCAGCATCGGCGCTGGCAGATTCGTGGTCGAACACTGGCGTAACCTGCCATGCCGACCGACTCAGGCATCAGCTCGTTTAGTGACATTACATCCTGTGTAATCTTGCCTCGTCGGGCTCATCCTCGGCTGGGTATCTGCCAAACTTGCCTCAAGGCATCTCGAAATGGCTGAGCAGCTTCCCGCGGAGGCCTCTCAGGGATTGTCTCTCTTCTTGTGATCAGCGCCGAAGGGCCCAGAATGTTTACCGGCTGAACCCCAGGGCCCGCTTCGCGCGTTCGAGTTGGTTGCAGACAACACGTCTACTACTTTACACGCCGGTCATTGGAAGTAGGTAGTTTTGGGTTTCCAAGTCCCAGTCTATGTCAAGCGCCTTTCTACGTCCAGAACTCATATGCTGTTGCTGTGTTTTATGTTTCTCCGGGAGGGCCTGAGCCCAATCTACTTATCCTCCGTCCTATAACATGGTCTTGTATATTTTTTCAGACAAGCGGGTATCTGATGTATTTGGGATCGGCCACGCTTTGGGGGGGGGCGGGGGGTAGGGGGATGGGGGAAGGCTTCCTAGAAGCACCCCTGCTTCTTGGAAGGCGCGAGCCTTATCTATAGATGTAGGACCAGCGCCTTCTACGAAGCAGCCTCCTTCTAAGAAGCCTGCCCCCACCCCCCTACCCCCTTGTGCGCGTCGCCAGTGGCAGGAGAAGCTGATACGGTTCGGTCGCAAATCATGGGAGCCGTGTACGTCCTCGAAACTCCATGTCTAGATTGCGTTGAGCGTACGTTAGTGTCTAGTAACTGGTGGGGATGCGCCGACGTAGCGTCGATCAGCGTCGACTTGGCCCCAACTATCGCCGATAATGGCCGATCAGCGTCGGTCAACGTCGATTCGCGCGAGCCAGCAAGGCTCCCATGAACTGCCACCGAGCCTGGCAGGAGAAGGCGATGTGGGCTGGCGGAATTTCAGCACCATCTCTGCCTGTTGTCTTCGTCGTTCGTATCTGTAGTAGTGCAGTGTTCAAAGTCTATTGCGGGCTTCACGGCCTAGCTATTGCGTTCGTTGCCATGGTGCGGCAACCGCAGGGTATTATGGGGATCGTAGGGTCCATCATCCTGGTGCGCAGTATTGCAGGACCATGTTGGCGCGCACATGTCAGTATGGTGTTTTGTCGAAGGTTGTAAATGTCGAGTGGCGTGGTGCTGTGCGCGGAGTTTGGCATACTGGTGCACGCAGGGGCGCCCGCAAGGCGGCTGTGGCTTGGCAGGGTCGGTCTTCTCTCTCCTCGCCGCGCGCTGGTCGCAGTCGCGCGCTGTTGGCTTGATGTGACGCTCAGGGGCATAACGACCGAACTTTATGATGTTCCAACTGATTTTAGCCTTGAAACACTAGAAATAATTTCGAGCACCAAGAAAGTACCGAAATTCGATGGTTGTCACGTGTCGGGCTCTTGGAGGCACTCGTCCGACACTGTTTCGACACTGTTTCGATACTTTTCGGGGCGCTCGAAATTATTTCTGGGAATAGGTCCTTAACCACGGGGAGCAACAGACACCGAACTCTGCGTGCGAACGCTGCGGTGGAGCCATGGGGCACGGGGGGTGGGGGGCGTCAGGGTTTGCTCCCCCGTCCTCTCCCCGAGACGTCTTTCCACAAGGGGAGGGATCGATCATACCCGATCCACGACGGTCGGTACCGTTGATCGCTGGATCTCCGATCAGGAAGAAGAGTTCGGATGTGCTTTGTGGGAGGTCAAATGCAGCATCCGCTATATATATATATATATATATATATATATATGGATGTGTTCACCACTTTAAGCCAAGTGGTGTCGCAGCTGGCCGCAGGAACATCGTTCCGTAATCCTCAAGGCTCAAGCAGGCCCAGCCTATGCAGTTTGTCAGAGTTGCGATCCCAGAGCTTGCTCGGGGGATATCGAACAGCCTCCTGCTCTGGGCACAGACTCCGCCGCCCTGCCCCGTGTGCCAGCCTGTGGTGCACTGTGACTGCCCGGCCGTGGAGCCGACGCAGTTCAAGGAGGTCTTCCACGAGAGGGCGAACCCCGTGGAGCAGACGGGCTTGGTGCTGGCCACCTTCCTCACTGGCTTGGTCGCCGGACACCAGCTCGCGAGAGGCGGGCTCCTCGGTTGCCAGCGTCGGGCGCCGGCGGCGCCAGTGGTTTCCGTACCTGTTCCAGCACCTGAGGCCGCAGCACAGTCCGAGGAGGAGGACATTGCCGAGCTTGCCCGCCGTCAGCAGGCGTTGATCCGCAAGCGGGTGCTGCCAGTCCTTCATCAGTGATGGCGGCGCCAGCCGCAGTCGCCCACCCCCTCGGGCTTTGTGAGGGGGAGTGCTTCGCCATGAGGTACAACGTCGGCGGTCGTGAGTTGTGGCACACCCGTATCTGCTGTGGCACGCCCCCTAACTATCTCGTTGGCGTGACGAGCATGACGCCCGATCTGGACGAGTACGAGGAGGACCTCATCATTGGTGCTGACGTTCTCGATTGGTGTGCTGTGCTATTGCTGGTCCGAACGGTGTGGTGCCTCAGGCCGGCCCGAATGCTGCGTACTACCGGTTCAGGGCGATCCCCACGGTCGGTCAGCTGACCTCGGCTCGTGCTGCTGGTTATCGTCGCATGGGCCTGGCCCCGCCTGCCGGCAACGTGCATCCTCTGCTTGGTGGACCTCCTGCCGCCGCGGGAGGTCCGCCAGACGCGGGGGGGGGCGGGGCTGCCGGACCTCCAGCCGCTGCTCCTGCGGGAGCTGCTCCGGGGGCGGCCCCTGGTGGGGTCGATGGTGTCCCTGGTCCGGGTCCCGGGGCCCTCGTCGCTGGAGCTGCGCCGGCAGCAGCGCTTCCCGCCGCGTTAGTGCCCGCCGCGGCGGGTGGAGCCGCCGCGGCCGGGCCAGCGCCGGCTCCTGGAGGGGGCCTGGCGCGTCTCGCTGCTGCACTGGGCCCGCCTCCAGCCGCGGCAGCTGGAGGAGGTGCTCCTGGAGGAGCCGCTCCTGCCGCCGAGGCGGGAGGCCTTGGGGGTGGGGGTGGAGCGCCGGCAGGTGCGGCTCCTCCTCTCGCGGTCGCCGCAGCCGGCGCGCAGCCGCCGCCTGGAGGGGGAACGGATGCTCGCACCAACCCTGTCATGTATGACGCCACGGGTTCCCGATTCCGGGAGTTCAGGGATGCGGTCTCTCTCTTCGCTGAGGATCCGTGGCCAGACTGGCCCATCAGGGGTCCGAGGACGACGCCGTGGGTTTGTAGATTCATCTTGTCCAACGGGGGAACCCCGCTAGGAAGGCATAATCGGCGGCGTGCTGATTGTAGGCTGCAGCCCGGCGATCCAAGCGTCGATTCGCACGAAGGCGGCTGCAGGCTTCTCGAGACTTTAGCGTGCTATGACCAGGTGAATGTTCCAAATATTGCTGCTGCAGAGATCGCCGCCCGCGAGATACAGGTTGCCGAGGAACGCTATCGCGATAAGGTGGCCGGCAGCAGCGATGATCGCCTCGATTCTAACCTTGCCCGGGGCACGGACCTGGTGCGAGGCAATCTATGCGTCATGCCCGAACTCTCTCAGTGGATCGCGTCAGAGCTGTCCAAGGAGTATGCCGTCATGAAGGAGCGCCGCAAGGCGCGCGAGGAACGCACTCTCGCGCGCCCGAAGAAGGGGGCCAAGGGGGAGCAGTCGGGGCAGGGGCGATGTCACCCCCGCCAGCCGCGCCCCCGGCTGGCCCTGCACGAGCCGAAATTAGCTGCACGGAGGCAGGCTTGCAGTGCCCGGGAAGGCACAGAGACATCTTTCCTTTGCCGCTGCCCAGCTGTCACAGTCTTCCTCGGTCTGGTGGCGCTTCGCTGTCTCGGGGCACGACCCGCAGGCTGGCCTCTTGCCGGCATGCGATAGATTGGGCCTCAGACGGGACGTCGTGCCTCAACCATCTTTGTGGCTTCAGCACGCCGTCGTCGGATGTGCGGAACGCCGGCCAGGCCGCGGCACTTCGCAACATCGAGACGGCTTATCTCAGTGTTCCGCCGCCGCCAGGCGATCCCACTTTTCGCAAGGGAGCCCTCGACGCGCTCTTTGCAGGGTCAGGTCTCTGCTCTGATGAATCCTCTACCCAACGGCCGTACGTCAAGAGCAAAGTCTCTTGGCCTGCGCGTGGCAACGCGCCGACTTGTCTGTCCGATTGCCTGGCGCAGGCCGACTCGAAGTGGCTCGGTCTCTGGCGCGATCATATGCTAAGATCGCCTGCTGCCGCGGATTCTTTGCGTGCGGAACTTTGCCCGAATGGCCCCTACACCGATCCGATTTTGAAAAACAACCCTCTCGCCTATGGCGACTTTGTCTCTGAGCTTAGGCAGCGAGGGATGGTGCGGCATCGGAAGGCTGCCGGTCGCGGCGCCACTGTCGGAATATTTTTTGTCGCCAAGAAGTCGGGCGACATCAGACTGATTTTTGATACCCGTGCCGCGAATGCCAGTTTTATTGGCCCCCCTCGGACGCGCCTCCCCACCCCCGGGGCATTTGCCGGGTTCGAGAATGTGGGGCGCGACGCCTTTTTTGCGGCAGGGGACATAGAGTGTGCGTTTTACAGGCTTGCCATTCCAGAGGGACTTGACGAGATGTTTAGGCTTCCAGCTTTAGCAGCTAGGCATTTAGGTGTTCGTTGAGGTCGATGGGGTGCCAGTCTCTCCAGGTGACATGATCGCTCCGTGTGTCTGTGTACTTCCCATGGGCTGGTCTTGGGCATTACATATTTGTCAGGGTGTTCTACAACATGCGCTCAAGCTCGAAGGTTTCGAATCGTCTCGCATCATAGAAGATGGCTTGCCTGCAGTATCCCTCGTCCAGCGCTCGGACACGGCCAGTGCAGGATACGTGGATAACTTCATGATTCTAGGTTCGGATCGCAAGGCAGTGCAGTCCGGGCTGGATAGTGTGTGCAGACGCTTGGAGTCACTGGGCCTTTCTGTTCATGAGCTGAGTGCCGCGAGCCAGGATATCTCGTTCGTGGGGTTGAGCTTCAGTGAGGGGTCCAGGGTGTCCATCAAGCCTTCTAACTTGTGGCGTCTCAGGTACGGCATCGAGGCCTTGCTGAGACGTGGTGTATGCAGCGGCTCGGCGCTCCAGATCGCGATGGGTCATGTGACCTGGGCAGCCCTTCTACGTCGTGAGGTGCTGTCGCTT